TATATATGTGAACTTCTGAAGAAATTGTGACTTAACAAAATGTGAGAATCAGGCTATGTCTTTGCTCCTTGGTAAATCCCAGATGAGATTTTTAAATCAGAAATTGTCAGATATTCTTAGGTAAGCAGAGCATATGACAGTTTACTCAGTTAACTCAATTGCCTGTGTCCATACAATACTGTGTACATTAACTAATATAAATACAAAATGAAGTTAAGAGTGGGATGTAAAGTTTTGGAAACCAGTGAGCCTGTCCTCTGCCTACAAGTCGTATCTCTTAAAGTGGCCATGAGTGAGTTTTTGATGTCTGCAGGCTACATTTGGATATTTCTAATAAATTAAGAAACTATTCAAAATGTGTAGTCCTATTAATAGTCTTTTATGTTGAATGTGGGAACAATATTGGTTTTAATGTCTTCTTTTTGTTTTAATAGGTATGCACTGCTGAGGAAGTCCAAAGAGAGGCAAGAATTGGATGGCCTCAACAATTTGAACTATTTTCCAAATATTACATATGATAATTTGTATAAAAACATAACTGTCAGTTTAACACCAGAGCTGGCTCTGGTGAGTGAATACTAAGAGAATATGAGAAGAGAACAGCAAGAGATTGTTGTATAGATGTCTCCTGGACAAGAATAATCTTGTGTCTAATGAAGGATCACAGTATTTTGAAGAATAATTTTCAAAAGCACGCACACAGATCATCAGACTATAGACATATTCACACTGTCAGTGAGTTCGGACTTGACTTGCTTTTTGATTTCTTTTTAAAAAGAACTATGGTGTGACCTGCTGCTTTAGTCCCAGCATTCCATTTCCTTAAGCAATCTCCAGGAACAAATAGAGATTGGATGTGCTTTTCTGCTCATAAAACCAGTTTGGCTAAAAAGAAAACTGTTGGTTTCTTGACTTAGGGTGCTGGAAGCTACCCTGTAAGCTATGGCCATTATTGGAGATGAACTGCTACCTAACAATGACACCATTCTTCTGCATTTGTGTTTGCATTGGTTTTCTAATTGACTTGCTTGAAGAAAAAAGATATATATATCTATATATACACACAATCACTTCTTAAAGAAGTATAGATGTAAATAAGCTGTATAAATTGCTTTCCTTTATTTTTTAAAAAAAATACAGTTCAAAACAGAAGCTGAAGGTTTACAACTTAACATAACTCAAGTAAGCCCTCAACTGTGCAAGCACTTCAGCACATCAGGATGACACTCATGCAAGTAATTCTCTTCAGGGCTATTTGTTAGTGGGATTGAGACTTTGTCAGTTCATTGGTTATTTTGAAAGTCAGAGCAATGTTTATTGGAGGAGGAGGAATCTGGCTTTGGGAGAGTGTATTCTATTCATAAAAGTGCAAAGACCAATCACATACATTTTTGGAGATGCACAGTCTTTCTAATGTCTTTTTGTGATCTACTGCATTTTGTCCCCATATTCCGTAATGACAGCAAAATATCAGAGAAAATATCTCCCAGTTTCATCTTTGTAAGGGACAAGAAGTTTCCAGAAAGTTACTGAAGTTTCCACTTTACGCTGTTACCCTCATATTTTTTGTTTGGTTTGTTTGCAAATCATTCAGTCTGTGTTGGAAAAGTCTGTAGTGATTCCTGTAACTTTAATTTTGGGGGGAGGGATTATGAATAGTATTTTGATATATTTATTGTGTAAATGAAACTGAACTAATATAGACTAAGACTGTAGGGTTGAAGTTCTTGGGTATGATTATTAACTAGAGAAAACATTGCACAAATACTGGGATAAATATATCCAGACTCCAACTCTTAATTAAAAGAATGAAGGGCATTGAGATTAGTTTTAAAAAAATGTGAACATCAGACAGAAGTGGTTGGTCCATAATCTCTTAAGTTTTTGTTTTAAGCTGTCATAATGGGTTTGTGCCTTTGTTTTGTTTTGCTTTTCTGGTTTAAAACCAGTCCATCTGTTTATATAGCATGTACAGACTTTTTTAAACTGGGGTGTATTACTCTGGTAGAACAAATTGTTCTTTAATATATATTTATAGACAAATTTGTGAGTACTTAATGTGAAAAGTACTTTAATCTTTTTGATTGCATTGTTGCCTTCAGTTGCTTTAACTTGTATAAGTTTTTTTTTTTTTTTTAAGGTTTTGGGTTTGGTGGATATATGAACCCCATATACAAATGTTGTGGGTGTGATTAACCAGGCCTATTTTCTTGAATCTCAAGAGTTATGAAGGGGTGAGTGTGTGTGTGAGCACATGTATGCATCTTACCAGCTGATATGAAAGGGCAGGAAGTCTGTTCTTGAGTTTGCTGATAAGTACGCTTCGAAATGTTTCATAAGAGAACCTTTATGGTTGCTGCAGAGGTAATAACTTAGCTTTTTTTTCTCTTTTAATGGCACATGAAGCAATAAAGACTTCTGCATTTTGATAATTTTCAGTTGTGAATAATTCATATATATTTTTCTTTTTTTCTTTTTTTTATCTGGAAGGCTAGTAGAAATCAACATTTTATTTAATGGTGCTTCAGTTGAGAATGTGTTTCAATCTGTCTTAATTCACCATGACATTTCCAAACAGCCATTAGGCAGTGCAGCCCCCCCCCGCACACACACACTTTAAAAATAGATTGTCCACCCTTCTACTATACCCTCTGAATTACCTCTGCTAAGAAATGCACTTGTTGAAGATTGGTGTGAAAGAGTCAGTTTCACTACTTAGTCAATAGTTCTGGATTGATTTTTTCCCCAAATTATTTTCTTGCCCTTTCTTTAAAAGCGTGGAATATCTTTTAAATGTGCACTGTTACTCTTATCAGATAAGTCAGTTATTGTATGGTAAATGTAATTGTTGGAAACATAACTGTCAAACGCATGTGTTGTTACGGTGTTTTTAAAAATCATTTAAAATGTGTACATTAATAGCTGAAATTTCAACAGAGTGCTCCCCATTTCCATCAGCACTGTCAGCTAATATTGCTAAGGGACAGAACATTATGAATATAAAAATGTATGTTTTATATGAGCCATGTGGGTCTTTATTTGCTAAAACATTGATTTAGAACCTCTTTTTTTTTTTTGTAAAAACTCTTTTGTAATGAGTTTACCAGCTGAGCAACCACTGTGCATTGCCAAACATCTACTGTCAAAGATAGAATTGAATCATATAATTTCCTTCTTTCTATTGTTTTGAGTTTGCTGTGTTTTCTGTGAGACTCCAAGGGTATATTTTTGCACTGAAATCTAGTGTTAAAACCCACAATTTTCAGCAAAGCAATCCGTTGTATCATTGCATTTATTCACCTGTGTGTTTGTACATTTTTGTATTTGTTAATTTATGAGTGATTTTTTTCAGTAAAAAGAATACATATTCAAGAACCAAGAAATGGTAATGATGTTGCTTTATTTATGAGTGAATTACTAACATGCAATTCACTGTAGTAAAGAGACAGATTTACAGACAAGTCTTAATGCACAATTGGATTAAATTTACAATTTAATAAAAAAGTTATGCTTTTAAAAAGTTAATTATTTCACTCATTTTCCTTTCATTACAGAAGTCAGCACATGAACTTCCAAATTTCAGATTTATAAATCAAAAACTGATTTGTGTTTCAAAAAAAAATATGCATATAAGCAAAGCAAATCACTCATTGTTTGGACAAGCCCCAAGATAATTTTAGTAGAATATATGAAACAGAAAAGGCTTGCTATCCTTTGAAGTTTGATTTTTCAGTGAGTGATTATTGTCTTTGTCAATCTGTTGTGTACCCACATTTTAAATTGGGCTAACCAGATATTTGAGAGGAATCTACTTTATTCCCAACATTTTCATAAATACCCCTTTTAGAAAGTTTCTAGGATTTGAGGGGTAGTACAGTGCCATGTTTCCTTTTGTAAAGAGGAGGAGGAGGATGATTTTAGAATGATAATGTAATGGTTAGAAGGTCTTACAAATTATCTAGCCCAACCCTCTGTTTTATACAGGAATCTGCTTTTTTTTTTTTTTAATCCACACTCAATCGTGACCGATTCTGTGGCGACTGCCTGGACAAGTCCCTGCAGTTTTCAAGGCAAGGTGTTTCGGAAGTGGTTTTTCATTGCCTCCTTTCTAGAGCAAGGCTCAGCTGGCG